CATTTTTCTTCTCAGGTAGGTAGGAAGTTCTTACAAGGGAACTGTCTGAAAGGAAGGAAGTAAAGTTTGCAACCGTTGCAATGTCAGCCTTTCTTACACTTTCATGACTGGGCCACTTCTGACGCCCTTCTTTTTATAAAGTCAATCGCCATTTCGTTGCCGGCAGACTGGAGTGCTTTACCTATATTAAAGGCAGGGCCGAAAGCAGCTATGTGGCTAGCAGTGCGTAGTCCCGTGTTTGCTTCTCACACACTGGTACTGATCTATCTGGAAGGAAAAGAACTGGGTCTGAACCAGGAACCTTTCGGTTCTGAATTTGGCACTCTACCGATTGAGCAACATGTGGCAAATTCTTTTCTCATTGAAATTCGTGGTTAAGGCAAAGACTGCTGCTTGCCATAATCGAACTCGGCATCTCCCGAGTTCGAAGCCGACCTTTTAGGCACTGTGCCATAAAGCTGCACGATATGATCTAGGGAATAGCATTAAAATAGCAATTTGCAGCAAACAGACCTACTTTTCTTGCTCTGCTTCTTCAGAGGATATTCGAGATTTGATGAAGCCAATAAAATCGGTTGCCTAAAAACAACAGCAAGAAAATACGACGAGTAGATGATGAGAAATGCTCATTCTACCGCTCGCTGTCCATTATACGGTATCTGCAGTTTCAAGTAACTGAAGAAAATAATAGTCGGAAATCCTTGGACGTGGTACGCCGAGCAAAGGTTGTTTTCTACAGTGCAGTCGACGGCACCGAATACCACCCTGCTCTCCCCGGAAAAGCTTTGAGCTGCCGCGATAAATTCTGGTTTTGCAGCCTTACAGTGTCCACACCCTGCAACACCGTAGATCGTGCACGACCAAAAGCAGACCGGTCAATAAACCTACATGGCGCATAGAACATCACCAAGGCGAACTTTTTGCTTCGCAGCTCGCCCTGAAAAGAAGCCGATGTCAGTTGCACGACGTTGCCCCAGTCCATTTCCTCCTGCGCTGGCGGTGCGGGAGTCGACGGAATTTTCGACGCGTCAGGAGGGCTGAAGAACAAACAGAGAAAGATGTAAAAATCGACCAATAACACAACAACACCACCGAGTACTTAGACATGAAATTGACCAAACCGTCTGCGCTTCGTTCGTCAACATCCATCACAAACGTGCCGTGCTGAAAGTACTTCAGCGTAGGATAACCCTGTAGTTTAAATCGCTCCGATACGCCTGGGTTAGTCGTAGCGTCAATGGCGGCAAACGTGCCTCGAACAGAACTTTCCTTCAGCATTCTGGCTGCTTCCGTGTATGCAGGTTTCAACTTTTTGCAATGGCCACACCCTAAAAATAAGACATTTTAGTAACTGACGAAACAATCAAAAATTCCCTTGATTAGTCAATAACAGATAAAGGCATACCTGCCAGAAACAATCAGTTTTTTAATACCTAAAATAGTCCAAAACTTACAATGGTTTCATATATTTAATAGTGTTGAATGACTGAATTCATAATATATCAAAAAGACCACTAACAGAAACTATAGTGACCAAGGTAGATGGAAGATTCAAACTGCGGCAATTCGACAGTAATTTCATAAGGTACGTTGTAGATTGATGTGCTTGAATAAATTTTGCGTCCAAGAGGTGCAGAAAAGGAAGAAATGAAAGTGCGGGATTACGTATCCGGTGACGTAACAGGTAGTCATGAAGGTCTATCATGAATTCACATGGCACAGAGCGACAGATATGGCTATGCTTATAAGGTAAAATTGCCTAGAATAATGATTCTCCGATTCTCTGTTGTTAACAACTGGATGCACAGTTAAGGACACAAAGCGAAGCTGATAAACGATCAAAACGTTGATAGCTAAAACTCATCGCTACCACCTCAATAACATGGTAACACGGCCAGAGCAAGATTCATAAAAGCTACAGCAAGCCGTCTTGACAAGACCAAAACAGAACACAACGGGCACAGTATCGAAAATGTCAATAAATTATTTACTTTACGTTTTAATCTCTGATAACTGATTTAGAAGACTTAAGCGCATCGCTTCTTTTGCTTCGAGTTGCCTATGAGAAAGACAATTTATGCAAGCCGTGGTTCCGTGGTATTTGAGCATGGATGCAAAACCGCATCTCTGAGCTGAACTGAACAAGGGCTCATTCTGTCATAAACTAAATCTACCATTATCCGTAGGCAAATACAAAGAACAAACATAACGCTGATGTTTATCAATATATTTACTTTGTTCGGTGCAACTCAGACATGCGATTCTGCATCCAATGTACCACATACGCTAATACAACGGTCTACTTAAACGATACCCTAGGCAACTAAAAACAGACGCAGAATAAATCCGGTATCAAAAATTGAAGTATTATGTAATACTGCAGCCACCTCAGAAGATGAGTGTTATACTTTGTTTAATGATTCGCTTCGTCTGACAGTATTAAATTTCTCCAGTATTAAATTCACTGCCGCTATAATGCACCTCATGTGCAGACGTAAGGAATTCCTACGGTTTCGCGTTACGCTTACGATTTACTTACATGGGGCATAGAACATGACGATCGCGTTTAACTGCTTGGCAATGAACGAATCGAACGTCGCATCACTCAGATGAACAACGTCTGATTTTTCGTCGGCCCACGACGACGGCTCGCCAGGGACTTCAGAGAAAGCTGGACTAAAGCATTTTTGAAATTCGGCAAAACCTTTACGAACATCAAAATAACTTACCTCTTCAGCCACTTTAAAATGCTCTCTTTATCGCGTTCCCCGTTGTACTGGAACTTGAAATGGCCGTTCCTAAATGGAGCAGCAAATGAAACGGAATTAAATATTTTTCAATATAGAATAAGATACGCAAAAAATGGCATCCTGCCTCTTATCAGATAATTTACTTACACATTTACAGTGTTATCTCATTTCATAAACAAAACGCAACCTCGAGACTTTTCAGTGACTGATACAAATGGCAAGTCTCAATTCCACTATCGATATGGATATAAAGTCATTTCGATTTACAGGATTTAGTCAGAGCGAGTACACCGAACTAGTGCTTATAAATACCTAGAGGCATGTTATAGATTTAAAACAATGCCTTCGTCTCACTATAAGCGAGTAGTCGACGAGAGGCCGTTGCGTCAATCAGAAGAATGCCCTTGGGTCACTGCGTTGGCGAGCCATGGTCGAAGCGCAGACGCAGTAGTCTGAGTTCACATTTCTTTGGTTGACTGTCTTTTATACTGCCTCCTTGGAGCAAGGGAAACACACACTGGGGTAGAACAGCATGTGTTACACCAATGCATATGAATCAGAGGCTGCCATTAGTGTCTACGAAGAGCTCATTTGACAACCGGATGAACAGTGGCAGCCGCTTCCCAAACATTGGGTGGTTAGGACAATCAGCCAGGATTTTAGAACAGTCCACAAAAGACTCATTCCCTAAGTTTCTCAGAATTAGTGACTTGTTCTTACGGATACTCTAGCGGCAAAATGGGAACAAGCTTCACCGTACGTCACATATCCCTTAC